ATGTGCGAAAGCGCTAATTGTTGCTTATTACTAATAAATTGTTTGGTTGCCGTGACGCGCACACAGAGTGGTTAGCAATTACATCTTGTTGTACACACACACACACATTTGAACACATGTACATACATATGTATATGTATATACTACATAAAAGCTAACGATGTTTGTTGCCGGCTATGCTGCCCCAATTTTTAGCCACAGAGCTGCATTCATAAATAAATATTATACAGAAAAATTGTTTATAATTTTTTCTCTCTTTGGAAATGTCAATTCCCCGAATGGTGTCTCACAAATACTTATGGGCCTGGCATAGCGCAACGAGCTAAAGGGAATCCGATAATGTGAGTTCGTTCCTGAGTATATGACTCGGTTCGAATCAACGCATAAAGCATGATTTCAAAATTACTTACAGTTTTAAAAACTCTGTAGGTCTCATATCTAAAAATGTTAAACTGTCATCTGCAGCATAAACAAAAATAAATAAAAAATACTTATTTCCTAAACTGAAATAATATAGTATACTCTGATAAAAAAAAAGCACGGAAATTTCAATATTTACACGTAGATTTAACTATTTTTACCATCGATTTTGCGCCATCGTGTGTTTTAGTAAATATGAAGTGTGCACACTTAAATTTAAAAATTTAATATTCAAATATTAAATTTAAAGTGTGACGATATTAAATCACAATGGGGAGACGTGGGTTTGATTCACGCCAAAGGTTCATTTTTTATAATTATAAAATATTTTTTCCACTTTTTTGTCTACGCTGTTTTTTCTTTAACCCTTTCCAATATTGACATTATCATGATGCATATTTTATTTCTATATATGTATATATATATTTTTTCTATAGAACCACCATTTTTAGCAGAAAGTAATTTTAAAGTTCTGTTGTTATCATAAATTAATTTTTTGATGCATTTTAATATTAATTTAATATTTAATAGATATTGTTTGGATCAATATTAATATTAAAAGTGAGAAGAAGCTGATTGATTAACACTTACTTGACACATACCTAATGACAATATTTGTATGTCAAGCGGTTACACTTTGTATTTATACCACACAAACGCTGAAAACCGACTTGAGAATTCTAGTCAATTGGAATATATTATATAGTGCTAGAATATTTAAATCGGCTACAAAAAACTTCAAATTAAAGTTGAGATAAATATTATAATTTACTATGGAATATAGTAAATTTAAATATTTGTTTTTTGAAGTGTGTGCATATTAATATTTAATATGGTTCAACATTAAATTGAATATGACACACTTTAATAACGAAGTTTTACACTTTGTTTTGAATGTTATTCATATTAAAATCACTAATTGAATATGTTTTTATTAAAATTTACGATGTTTTTATTTGATTTGAATATAAAATAAGTGAACATTAAATTTAATATGAAAATATTCATCCGTACTATGCAACTTTTTTATCAGTGTATGAAATATTCTGTTATCATATTGATATATTCTTATTCCGGAATGGTTCTACTTGCCGATTAATTACCCATTTAGCGAAAATAGTTCCATTTTCATCCGTCTGTTAAATAATATGTACCCTGTATCCACATCAGCAATTCATTAAATTAAATACAACTTTTGAACTTTGTTTTGTGTAAATCTCAAAATTCAAATTCAACTCCATTCCGGATCAACTAGAGTTTCCAAATAACTTTGAATTTTAGTCTTCGAAGCTCCATGTTAAATTAGAAAATTTATGCAATTTTGTCATTGTAAGATGCCACTTCTCAAGGCATATGAATTATTTTAGGACAGATCTCAAATAAAGCGTCAATTAATAAATAAAAATAGCTCCAGCACTGTGGGGAAGTAGCGATTGAAATAAACAGACGGACATCGCGTTTTGGATTCATTCATCGCTCCCAACTCGTGCTAGTTTCCGGCTTAGTAGTCGCGCTCTCCTTCCCACAGAACTTAAGCTCAAATCAAATTTGCAAAAAATTAGAATATAAAATCGAGATCGTAATGTGGCCGATAGTTCCTATAGCAGCTTTAAGTTATGAAGCATCTATTTTATTAAGAAATAGAGATATAGTGAGACAGCTTGGCTACGAATTCAGAACAAGAAACGTTGTTACAGTCAAGCAGCCGGACATGTGTGTAGAGTTGGAAGATGAAAAGCCTCCTCACCTGTTCTTATGTCTGCTCGGAATGCAGATGTCCAGCTATGGCAGGAATTGAAGCAAAAATAGGCAAAGTACAAGTATGCTTCCTCCCAAGTTCCGCCGTCGATCTCCTGATACTTGAATTGTTTTTACATCTATAATCACCCCGTAATCTTAAAGAATAGCCAATGTCGCTTATACATTCGCTAATTGCTTTAGTCCGTTGATAAGCATCCGCATGTCCTAAGCTCAGTCCGTCACCTCGTTTTGGTGCCGCTCCGGTCCTCATTTAATATGCGCTTAATGCTCATTCATTATTCTCGATTTAAATAAGCTGCTAAAGTGCATGGCAATTCCCGGACGAAAACCAGAACCCAGATATGCTAACCCCTCGTGCCCCAAACATGAATCCTTCAGCTCTGCCCACTCCAGCACTGTGTCTTGCCCCAGACCAGTTCTAAGGCGCGTCAACATCGGTTTTCTGCCCTTCACTTAGCCGCACAGCCCTTTACAATTTTCTCCCGCCTTTGTCACTTTCCCACCCACTCCACGCTCCCAGTATTTTTTCCCTCTTTCGTTTTACAAGTTTGACCATTTATTTAAACTTTTTATACGCCTGATTTTTATTTGCGCCAAGTTTACGCGGGTTCCAGCGTATTCAACGTGTTTAGCGGGCCCAGCCATCGCTTGGCCTTTTAACCCTTTGCTGCTGCCCCAAAAATGGGCAGCAAAAGAAATGTGCATTAATTTTCTTAAAAGCTTTTCTTGGTGGTGCTGATTATCTTGATGCTTTTCTGACTGTGTCTGTATGTATCTATGTATGTGTGTATGCGTGTGTGTGTGTGTGTGTCGCATTTGGCTGGAAAATGTAAAAAGGCGCATAGATTTAAATAGTCGCACAAACACTCGTATACTAAGTATACGAAGTCGAAGCGGAGTTCTCCCAAAGTGTTCTTCTCTTTTACTTTTGCTTGAAATTTTATTTTAACGAAATTTGGCACACAGCCACGCTACCTATTTACAAAATCTCTGTGGGTGTGTGGTTGTAGGTGTGTTGTCTTAAATTAATTTTCAATAAATTTTAAAAGATTTCTCATTACTTTATGCATTTAAAAAAAATACCAGTTGCTTATTTCTAGTTTAAATATTTGAAAGAAAAAAAAAACAAGAAGAAAAGCTTATTTCTTAATACACAGAGCTGACACGGTTTTCCATTTAATGTACAAACATCTCTAACGAACTTCTGAATTCAGTTAATTTTTTAGTTCATTTCAGTGGGAGAGAGATCTTACGAATCTGATTGAGATCAGCACTAAAGGTACCAAAGGAATTACCTTTTTAAAGTTATAAACTAAATTTGAATTGTTATTGAAAATGATTTCAAATTGCAAACAACACTCATCTGCTCCTAATTTCCATTTTCTTGATTGATTGTTCTAAACTATCTAATAGTAGTCTACAATACTTGCAGCTGACTGAGGCCAACTTCTTTCTATATTATTGGAGTGAATAACTGCACCTTCTTGAGCCAACTAAGCGCATATCGATTACATTTACGAATAAAAATATTATATAATAAACAGTACTGTTCTCATATCCGATTCTAGTAGAGATTTGGGAGTCGACTCACAGTCCGACATTGGGCTTGCTTTTACTTTTTCATTTCAATTTTATGTAATTTGAACAACTTTTAATTCAATTGTAACAAGCCAAGTGATTTGAATTTAAGACTGGGACCTCGCTTTAACATTTCGAAAAATTGTACTGAAATGAAAACTCAATAATAGTCCAATTGTCCACTGCTATTCGTAGGATCGGTGAAAAATAGATCTATTTGATTTCATATTTTTTTCCTAGAATTGGATTTACCTATTTCCTAACATTCTTTAAATTGCAATCAAATCTCCACATAGTTCTGGACAAAGTTAGGTATTTTTTCTTATGGTTCATAGATTTTGAGGCTAACGCTTTCCACAAAATTAGCCACTCCTTAGAACTTTTACTATGTGTACAGTTTTATCGGAATAAATCCGAGAGAGGAATTTAGAGCAATAAAATTGTAACAAAAAAAACCCGACCTCAGGTCTAGTGCATGGCATTTTTTTTGTTTCGAGGATGATTTTGAAGCAACAGCATCCCGTTCAGGAATAGACTTTTCAACTATTCGCACTAAATCAGCCATGATTAAGGTTTTCTCATGCATGCGATTGTGAGAACTGGACCAAATTGAAATAGGACCATTCGGGAAGATCCAGCTTTCAAATTGAAATTGAAAAGGAATCATCAAAAGCGGTCGAATGTACTGAACTAACAAACATAAAAAATACAGACAAATTGATAACCTCCTCCTCTTTTGAAGTCGCTTAAAAATGTAATCTCTGCCAAAGTCCGATGCATATGTGTGCAATTAAAGAAGTACATCAATAAATGCAAGTTATTGGTGCTATATTATTTGTTTAACTATGTATAAGTAATCAAGTAATTATATTAAACTTAAGGAATGGAAGTGAAAACATGTTCTCGTCACAAGAGTGGATTCCTGTTCCTTTTATTTTCTTAAATGAAAACCGTGTCTTCTATACTCGTACTGTTATCTGTGAATTGTGGGCTATGCTTTATAATTGATTTAAATTCGATATGTGAGCCACTTAGTCTAAGTTTTAAGTACACAAAAAAAAAAAAAAACAAATACCCTTAAACTAAATTCTAAACGCCTTGCCTCGATATGCCTAAAAGATAATTCACAACTCGAGCGGCTGCGTTGCACCTCCAAAGCCACTGTCAGAGCCTGCCCTCAACTTGTCCTCCGCCTCACTGCGCGCCGCCAGGCAGTTGCCCAGGAAGGCGGCCGCCAGCCGCTAGTAGGGACGCCAGACATCTGTCGGCTTGGGTGTGCGAGAGCGTATGGGTCCAGCGCCTCCGCTTCCGCCGACGCCACTTCCTCCGCTGCTGCCACTGCCGGAGCGCGAGGTGGTGCTCACATCATCCAGATCGATGGTCTCCACCGGCGATGGCGAACGTCGCGTAGAGCTGACCGGCGGTGACGCATTCGGATTGGCATTCTCCGCATCCGGTGGATTGTGCGTGATCAGCGTGACACATCGCTTGACCAGATTTACGCCATCGATGGCGCCACTATCGGCCGCCGGGCTGGATGAGGAGGGGGCAGCTGCTGCTGCCGCCGTATTCAGCGGTCCGCCGCCACCATTGCCAGCTGCCGCCGCCGCTGCTGCCGCATTCCGTAACCAGGGCAGGTCGCTGTAGTTCCCATACAGCTGTGTGTACAGCCATTGACTCGACTGCGGCAGCAGCGGACTCTGCAAGAAGAGCTGAGCGGCCAAAGCTGGATTGAAGCTGTGAGCGGGTGCAAAATGCTGAGCAGCTGCAAAACCGCTGAAAAGCTGCTCCGTGGGGTTTTTCCGCAGCCCCGCCGAATTGCGTTGTATGAGAGAAGTGAAGGCACCGCCGCTGCCAGGTTGTTGTTGTTGCTGTTGTTGTTGCTGTTGTTGTTGCTGCTGCTGCTGCTGCTGCTGTTGGGTGAGTTCTGTGGCCGCTGTGCCAATGTTCATGCCCATGCTGCTGCTCGCATCGGCACTGAGCAGCGTCGGCGATCGACTGCCCACATCATCGGATCCGAGACTTTTCCGCGGCGATCCAGTCACCGAAATGCTGTCGCTTTCGAAGCCCGCATCGATGTTATTATTATTGTCATTCTCACTGGTCGTTGTGGTTAGCGGTGGCGAGGTGGTTCGACAAGGTGGTGGTTGAGCGAAAGCGCTCAAAGCTGCTGTCGCCGTTGTTGTTGTGGTGCTCGGGGAGCCCTCCGGACTGGTTGTGCTATGCGCCGCCCCCACTGTCGCCAGCTGCTGAGAGTCGGCTGCAAGCAAGGATAGAGCTTAGTATTGGAACAATCTACACTTAATCGTAGACTCCTACATAAAGCCGAATTAATAATCGGATATTTCTTTGACTGTCTGCCCGATTAAAACAAAATATCACCAGTCCTCCTTCTGGGTGTCGCTTTAACCCATTTATTTATTTATTTTTTTATTTCATCAACAAACATAGCTGTTAATGTAAAAGAAAATGTATACAATAGAAAACTTAGAAAAAATCAAATTAAAGAGTAAAAATAACTATAAAATTTACAATAATATCTAATCATGAATCCGACTCGATGGGGAGATTTTAATCGCGATTCACAGCACAAAGTAGTTAGACCTAATAAAAAGAAATGGTGATGAATAAGAAAAAATTAAAGTCAAAAACAAGTAAAATTCAATTAAAATACTTAAATAATAAAAATATAATTAAAAGTTAAGCAATTTGAGAATCCCTGACCTTTCTCCTCTGAGAACAAAAAATAAATACATAAATAATCATAAAATTAGCAATCAACTAAATAATATTGATAATATTACTATTACTAATACTAATAAAACAAAATCTTCTCTGTTAGTGGTGGGAGATAGATCTTTGCTCCTTATTGCTTCAAAGCTGAAGAATAAATCTGCAACTTTCTGTGCAACTTTCAATAGCTACTTGTATTATACTACATCTTTATACAGTAAAGATGGCACTCACTGGGAAATTAAGCTTGGAACAAGAACTGTTAATTAATAATAATCTAGCAGCAAAAGGGCCTATTTATATAATATATGACTTATGCGACTTTTAATAGAATATGCTAATTAAAAGGGATACAGTATGTATACTATAGTATTTGGATGTTACAAAATATGGCGACGTTTTTACAATCACAAAAATAAAATAAAACTGGCTGGCTTAGATTTCTCTTGAACAAATATATGTAAAGGGATAAAAAGAAAGAAATTGAATGCATAAGTATTAAAAATTGTTGTTATCTCTCTCCCAAGAAACTTATCATTTTCATGAAAGTGCTTCAACACACAATATTCTTAACAAATGTTTTATTGAATATGTTTAATGCTGTTTGGAGTACTTCTGTCTCTGTCTACGCTTCGGGGGCCACCTCTACTTACCGCTCAGTGTCCGCAAGCCTTGTCCAGCAAAAGCTCCACCAGCTCCGCCGCCGGCAGCCGCCGCCGCTGCAGCTGCATGGTGGTGCGGGAAGAAGGGCGAAGTGGCTGCAGCTGCCACCGCTGCATGGGCGAAGGCGGGACGCACACCCAGAGCCATGTGAGCGCGCCAATCGGGCGCATGCAAGTGACTGTGCATGCCCACCAAATGATGCGCAAAACCTGAAAAAAACGATTTAGAACAGAGCGAGGTATAGTTAGTTTTCACGACGTATGCGTAATATACGCCATATGTTATACAAGTATATGCCATTGAATGCTGAGAGGATTAAGTCTAAGAAGAAGAGTTTCCAATAGAGATATGCGCCCATTTTCGATTGAGATCCGTAGGTAGAATATTGAAAGGAATTAACGCCTTCCAACTTTTCTCTTTGTATCCATAATACATTATACAAGTAAATTGCAGTCATATAAAGCAGAAATCTGATGCATAGAGGATGTAAAGTTTTCCATGTCATGAGGGAAAAGTCAATTGGTCTGCATTGTTTTCCCATTGCTAGCCAAATTCTCATCACAAAATATCCTTCGGCACCTGGCATAACTCAACGAGCTAAACGGATTCCCACAATCTGTGTTCGTTTCTGACTATGACTCGGTTTGAATCGCGGCATATAAAGAATGATTTTAAATTACTTACAGTCTTAAGAGGAGTCTCATATCTAAAAATGTCACAATTCGCAACATAATTAAGAAAATAAATTTAAATAAATTTCAAATAAGAACAAATTATCTTTCATCATATTCGGATAAATGATGTCTGATCTGATTCCGCTTTATCAGAAATTGACTTATCAAAGCAAGAAAATTAAAAGATTTAAAAATTTTAAAATTTCATTCTGGTGTGGAATCTTTTTTCCAGAAGACTGACAAGCTTTTTAATTCATTTTGTACAAACATTACAGACTGCGTTAACTTTAGAAGCAACCATCACAGATCTGAAAGCTGAAGAAAGCAATCAATAGGCATTTCTTTTATTCTGTCGTGAAATCTTTCTTCCAGAAGACTGATAAGATTAATCAATACTTTTGTACAGACATTGCTCTACAGACTGTGTTAACTTGAGAAGCAACCATCAAAGATCTAAAAGCTGAAGAAAGCAATCATTTATTTCATTCTGTCGTGAAATCTTTCTTCCAGAAGACCAATAAGATTCATCAATATTTTTGTACAAATATTTCTCTACAGACTGTGTTAACTTGAGAAGCAACCATCTAAAAGGTACAGCTAGCAATCAATAAGCATTCAATCCAGATCTACTATAATTAGTCTGCTTCAAATGCTAATAAAAAAGTGACCTTTCATACTCAAAGAAAGTCTTGCGGAAATTATGACATGCGCTCGGAGCTAAAATATTTGCTCATTTTTAGCAACAAAGGGAAGGGCAACAACAAGAGCAAAGACTAAATCAACTGCAACCAAAGACACCGACCACATATAGCCAACTGTGCAAGACCAAAAACGTTGCCGCACATTTTGGTTGCTGCAAAACGACAACAAGAACAACAACAACAACAACATGAACAATGCCTTGGGCATGGCCGCCATTGCTGCTTAATGCACACACACATACGAGTGTGCTTACATATATGTATGTACACACTCGTATGTACGTATGTAAGAACTCCACCTTCGATGTACACGCACGCACACACACGCCCACAAACACACACAGACACACAGCGACAAGACTCTTCGAAATGCTTCTTGGCCAAATCTGGTAGCGAGAACGAGAGCCACAGAGCCCACACATAGACACACAAGCACAAATACACAAACACACGCACACACACACCTACAAGTATATACTTACTACTATATCCACGAGAGGCAGCTCAAGGCAAACTCCTAAATAAATTCATTAAAATTATCCCTGATGCCAACCGCTCCGCCCCCTTCCACTCACAGACACACACACACACACACACACACACATACACTTTCCCTCCCTTCCCCTCATCAGCTTCTTTTTGGCCATCTTTTGTGCCAACGACGCGTCGTCCAAAGTCCGTTGCCGCCATCAAGTGGCAGCCCACATTTGTGGCCCAGTCGGAAAAGGAGGGACGTGAACATTTGGAGTGTAGCCTCAAATGCCAGGCCGCAGTCGCACATACTGAGCGGTTGTGAAGATGACGATGGCGATGATGAGGACGAGGACGAGGACGGCAAGCATGACGAAGACGATGAAGACGATGAAGACGAGGTCGACGACTGAGGCGAGCAGACGCTACAAAGACAACGGCCCAGACAATGAGCAGATGATATTGTAGGAGATGAAGAAGCAGCAAAAGAAGCATACGAATGTATAGCAATAGTGGAGTGGTGGGAGTGGGAATGCAGTGGAAGAGAGTAGGGAGGGGGGAGAGGCTAAGGAGGCCACGTTCCTTGCTGTCTGGGCATTACAGGTCAGAGACTCATTGCCGTTGTCATTGTTGCTGTTGCACATTTAGCTTCGAATTTTCTTAAGCGCGAATAGAACACACACACACACACACACTTACATGACGCTCTCCCTCCGCCCTATGGCACATTCGAGCTGCCCTCCCCTCCCCCTCGCTCACTCGTGGCCACTGTCGTCGTGAAGGCACGAGACCAACTCTCATACCAAGCCACACCACAAAACACACACCCACATGAGCACGCGCTCGCTCTCGCTCTGTTCCTCTCCTGCACACACGCTCTCCCATGCTGGTGTGCTGTCTCGCTCCCGTGCACTTGACGCAAATACTTGGCCAAGTTTTGCCAAAGTTTGCAACCAAAATTTTACCGAAAATGTGACACCAACGAACCAACCAACGAACCAAGCTGGCAACCAAAACAGCCAACCAGTCAGACAGGCCAAATAGACGGTAGGCGGCAGACGACGGCGTTGGCGGTGGCGGCGGTGGTGGCAGTGGCAGTGGTAGCGTCGTCGGTGTGCCACTGCAACGTCTTAGGAACGTGGCTCCGTCTGAGGCTGAAATCGAATCTGAGACGGGGTCTGAGCCTAAGACTGTGGCGTCTGCCGTAGGATGCGACGGCATTTATGACATCGGTTCTATTTTCCAGTTGACGGGGGCTGCAACTCTTGATTGGCATGCTGCATTACTTATGAGACACAATCCGTACGCATGTGTATATTCTAATGAGTGTGCGTGTGTGTGTGTGTGTGTGGGTGTGTGTGCGTGTGTATGTATGTGACACACACACACCAGAGCACTCGACACTAGGCCAGAAAGTGGGTCAAACAAATGCGCACTTTAAGGACGCGTTGCGCCAACTGCACTTCATATATTTCTATACCTACTACTACCATTAGTATATGCCTCGATTATAATCTGAATTAGTGGTTAGGGAGAAAAGGAAGGGCAGGAATTGTTAATTTGTAAACATTATTTATTATTTTATTGTGAAGCGAATGCAAGTTTCATTAATTGATGGACGATTTTTCATTTTAGTTCTACTTGTATGTCAAAGTTCCAGACGAAAATGTTTTGGAATTAATTCACTTATAAAGTACTATTAAGAGATACTATTAATTTCATTTCAAAGCCTTCATTGAATAGCTTTAATATACAAATATTTGTATTTTTTCATGTTTCTAATATTTTCCGCCTCATCTTGCTGTTAGTGATCAAAATGCATCGTACATTTTTTATAAGGCAAGATAATTGGAAATGAAAGATTAAAAGCAAGGAATAATAATGTAATTTTAAAGCCTTTTAAAATGTTAAAAAAATATACTTATATGTTTTAACATTTTAGTTTATTTATTTTAAAACATACATATTTAACATGTAATTACTTCTACAATTATTGAAGGCCGAATGTAGTTAAAAAGAAAATATTTCAAAACTAAAATGGAATGCTGGCTTGACTCTTAAAAACTCTGTAGCACTCCAAATAAGTCGCATTCAAATTTTTAAAAATTAGATCCAGTTTTTGTGCTCTCTACATATAGTCGATATGGCAATATCCGTCTGTCCGTACGTTTGTATGAACTCAAGGAACTCCGAGAGTATAAGAGGTAGAGCAACAAAAGTTTGAAATGCTTATTCCTCTTTGTCCTGAGTTTGCATCTCCCACTAATACACAGCCAAAATTTAAAAATTACATCAAATTAGCAATAAGTCTCTTTATGTTTCATCGTGATGTGTCAATTCGAAAGGAAGTTGTACTCATTAATTTAATCTCCCCTTCCAATCTCATTTCCGTTGACAGCTTTGGCTGTACTACACATACTTGTATACTCACAAATAGTCACCAAAGCTATACTAATATATTTTATTTCATTTATTTACTTCATTCAATCAGGTTTTTTTCTAAGGACTTCCATCCTTACACTGCTGCTTGACAGAGTAGGTTCAAGATTAAGCGAAGGACAGATCGAACTGAACAAAAATATATCTAAACTAAACCGGTATTACGCGCGTCCACAATTACTTAAAGCATAAAAAGACAATTCCACTATTTTAATGTTAAAGCAGAATTAATATACACATTTTAATATGATTTCAGTTTACCGCATAGTTCCAGTAGCATCCACAACCAGAGATTATGTTTATCTCAAGTGATATTTTGATCCAAATACATTTAAAAGTATTGTTATTCTTTCTTTCATAGATTCAAACATTTTAAGTGAAAGTGGAGCGTGTTGTGTAAAAATTTACAACAAATATTAATTTAACAATCTCAAAAGTGGACCATAATCAATAATTATGTGTAGACTCACCGTACTGGGTATATCTACTGCTTTAAATAAAGTCAAAAGCTTCAATTGTGTGAAAGTGTTCCGAAATAAAGAGAATTATTGCTCCATGAAGACACTACATTTCACAAAAGTAGCTTATTGTGTTTGAAAATCGAATGTTTTCATAAGAATGTCTAAACACAAAGCGCACAGGATATTCGACCAAATATAATAATAATGCTGGGCAAGTTTTTGGAGACATGTATGCCGATTTTTGTAAACGTCCTAGCTTGCAATATTGTTTTTGTAAATTCACATACATATCTATGCATGTATAGATAGTTAAGTAGCATAGCTAAGTTAGTTGTAATACCTAGAAACATACAGACACATACATGTAATTGTCAGTACTTATATGAAAACAATACATACATATAGTGCGAGTATACTACAAGTATGCTCTGAGCTATGCACATACAAATTTTATAGTTAGTAT